GTATTTTGCTTTGATTATGGTTCTGCATTTATTGCATTACTAATACAAAATAAATTCTGTTGGTTGCATTTATTTGTTTATTTTGCGCCTTTTTTTCATTTTCTCAGTGGGGGAGTTGTCATCAATTTGAGAGGTTATTCAGTTGTTTTGTTGTTGCTTGGATGATGTTATTGGACTGCTGTCTATTAACTACTAGCATCTTAAATGTTTGTTTGTTTGTACATTGTACATCTTAATAAACATTCCCTAATTAGTTAATGTGTGTACACTTATTTGAAAGCCATTGAATTTTAAAATTTCGCTAAATATCAAAATTTTGTTCGCTTTTTGTCATAATTCTCTTTCTAAATGCGTGCATAAACTTTCACTTCAATTACAAAGTTTTTGTAACAGCCGTGTGTATAGCGTTGGCCACATAATCGACATTGTTCTCATTGAGACCGCACATGTTAATGCGTCCCGATTTCAGCAAGTAAACGTGGAATTCATCGATCAGCACGCGCACTTGTTTTTCTGTAAATAGCAAAGAAGCGACGAGTTTAATAAATTTGTTGACACTTTTATTTATAAGCTTACCATTCAATCCCGTGTATGAGAACATGCCAATTTGTGAGACAATGTGATCCCATGTGCCAGGCGTCTTGAGTTCTGTAAGGCGATCGAAAAGTGCCTGACGCATTTTAATTATACGACCTGACATCGTTTTAATGCAGTCCATCCTGTCAAAGTTTAAAAAAAAAAATGGACGTATTAAATATTTGCAGGTAAATTAAGTAGATAGTATATTTAATTTATATAATACGAAACATATGCATGTGTGAATATCTTATTTAGGCAGTTAAAATAAAGTCTAGGAATACTGGCAGAAGAGTCAAAAAGGTAGTCAAAAAGATTCCCTGTGACACAGACAGCGAAAATCTCTCAAGAAGTTTTAGGGATAATTTATCAATAGGCTTATATATGCAAGTCTGAAATGTGGATTTATATGGCGCTAGTTATGCAATGTGCTAGGTTCAAAAAAATAAAATAATATAAATAAACAATAGAAAATAATCGCCTACAAATCGCTTTACT